CCAATTTTTGAAATTTAAATAAGTAACATCTATCATTATCATAAACTCATAATGTTTATATTACTCTCAAATAGAATACAATATAAGTGAATACTCCCTCTGTATTACTCTGTATTTGAATACTCTCAAATAGGATGTTTTAGAGTTAATTTTTTGTTACATTTTCTTAGTTTTTCTCTAGTTTTTATGTAAAATTTAATGTGTTATAACCATTAATATTCAGCAGCATTTCTTCTTATTGGTTGATTAATTCATAATTATATAGTATTAAATAATGATTTTAATGTAAAAAAACAAAACAAAAAATAACATTTATGCCATTCTTAAACTCCGCGATTTTATCTAAAAAATCTTATATAATGGGACAGAGAGAGTATGATTTTTGTTATAATTTAATATTTACAACAATAAAATACTCAAATATTCTTGTATATATGAAGTACTTTTGATCATTTATTTACTTATTTTCGTTTTTAATTTAATACAAACTTTTAGTAGTTGTAAGTAACAATTAATATACAAAAATGAATTAAATTGAGCATTTAAAATAATTTTATTGTTAAAAAAATTATTTTGCTTAGATAGACACCCTAGATGGAGAGAGAACTCCCTAATTATATAATAGACTAGAATAGGACCCGCGTTGATACGCGGGTAAAAAAATTACAAATTATTAATATCAAAATTTAAGTTTTAATTAGTAACTTGTTAAATTACAAAAAAATTTTAAAATATTTAAAGATGGATATTAAACCATTAAAATTTAATTTTTATGACCTAATTCATATTATACATATCCAAATATATATACGTAAATGGAATACAAATAATATTCTAAATAAGAAAAAAAAAATTCTAACATACTATGAATTTATATTAACTATATGAAAAAATCTTATAACAATTAAAATATTATAGAGTTAAATCATAAAACAATAAATTTATGTGAATAATCTCATAAAAAATTATATATATTTCACAATACTTTTATCTCTTTTTTTTATAAACAGTGGGAGTTCAGAACCTTTGGCTCATAATCTCCTCGGTTTATGAACCGCGGAAGTTTGAACCCGAGGAACAAGAGATATACTACTTTTATCAAACACTATAATTGATAAATGTCATTGATGTCATCGGTTTATTTTTCATATAGATTTATTCTCATCAAATATTACACTTTTGGATATTAACTAAAATATATTATTATTATTTCATAACATTTATAAATTTTTATTTTATAGAATTTCCTTTTTAAACAATGAAAAGTATACGTAAAGATTGATATTTTCTTTGTAATTTTCTATAAATATGTTTATAGAATTTTCTATAAATATGTTTGTAACTCACCTCGATTCCGGATTGAAAAAGAGGATGAACACGAAGAACACACAACTCTAAATCGCCCAGCCTCTGATTTCACTCTCCCAACCCGAAATTAACTAATGTACGATCCTTTCTCCAAAAAATCACCTAAACCGAATTAGGGTTTCAGAAAACAGGAACAATATGCTAACTTCAAAAGCACACCAAGAACGGAGATTACCTCAAAAATAGGATCGGAAACCTGATCTAGAAACTAGACAGAGAGAGAGCTTTCCAAATATAGGCGGATCGTCTCCTAATTCCTTTTGGTTCGACCGGAATCCTCCCTCGAAATGGACTGATCGTAGACCAAAAACTGCAGAAACATCTCTTAGAAAAAGAACGATAACTCTCGGAATACTAATCCAATTGACAAAAAGATTTCTCCTGAAGCTATATATGAGAGTAGAAAATTTACCCTCGAATTTTCACTCCAATCCGATCTGATTAGACTGTCCGTTCCTCTATTCTTCTAAAACGGGCCAGAATTGTCTCCAAAGCAACAATCTCTTCTTCTCTCTCACAACCTACGAAATCCTCTCATTTTCCTCTCCATAATCGGCTGCAAAAATGTCTCCATGCGTTTTTATATCATGCCCTAGGGTTCCCTTAACCCAACCCAGCCAAACCAATAATTGAACCAAAACGGTCGGTTTAATTAAATCTTGTGTCGATCGACACACGACCAAAATTCACTGAATTTGGTTCAGGAGCATTACAAAATCTAGGCTTTTATTTTTGTAGTTCTTACGAAAATAAAGCTACTAATCAGTGTGTCATCGCATTTTCCGTGAGTCATATATATCATTTCTTATGATTATGTCTTTCTTTCAAAGATATCGATAGATCTACAAGATCTAAATTGTGTCATAGTTTTCTTACGATTTTTCCTTTCTTTAAAGGTTATCTAAGGATCTGCGAGATCTTAACTGTGAAATCTTCACTATTTAGCTCATCAAAAAGATGATAACTTTGTTGGATGATTCTTTCAACTTATTAATCTTATATTTTGATCTTTTGTAGTCAAAAAGATCTCGACATCTAATAACCATGATAAGTAATCCTTTCAAATAGATTTCTTTTATTTTATGATTTAAATGAAGAACATGAATTTGAACATGTAATATTGCAATAAACTTATCATGAATGAACAATAAACTGTTAGATTACCAATACACTTGCCATACAAGCAATCTAAACCATTTTGACAAAATCATCATCAAACTAATTATGTTCAATTAGTTTCTTATAAATGCAAGTATATAATAAGCTTAACTATATGCAAACAATGTGTATTACTTGTAAACAATATGAAAGATTCTTATAAATGCAAGTATATAATAAGCTTAACTATATGCAAACCATGTGTATTATTTGTAAACAATATGAAAGATATTTTTATCTTTTGACAATTAAATTTTAACTTCTAATGATCATTTAATCTCAAGCCAAATATTGATAAAATATAAGATTACTTTGCATAAATGATTTTTTCAAGGCATATGAAAACATATGGATCCATGGATCTCGTGTTATCTAAATATTTATTTCTCATAAATACCCACACAAAAAAATATAGGTTAAAAAGAAAATGATTTTGTATTGTATCGTTTAGATTTTCAGAAAATCATTTGACTAAACTATAACTTTTCTGATACACAAGATACAAATCAATGGCGAGTGTAAAGCATACTTGGTTATATGAATATATCTATTTAAGAAATTCTAACATACCTTGTAAACCTCAAATGGTAGAGACTCGTGCTGATAACGTGTTATGAATATAGAAAAGATGGAAGTAAGACTTGTATTTTTTATATTGTTGTTGTTATATATACAAGAGAGAATGATCTCCTTTTATAAGGAGAATACAAAGGTTGTAACATACATGAATTTACTACAAGATTA